AAAAAACGATTCTCAATACGTAACCACCCAAATAGATGATTTTGCGCTCAAACTAAGTAATTATACATTATTAAAATGTTTTATATGTCTCCGATAAATCCTAAGAACTTTCTCCACAAAACTACTCTCAGTTCAACTACCAAACATTGCAGGTCACTCCCTTCAAGCAATCTCAATTTGTATTTTGTTAGTCAGTAGCTGGAAAACCAACTATAACTAAGTAAAAAGTTCTTCGTAGTCCTGAGATGGAATTTAAAGAATTTGAACCGCGGTTTAAATCTGCCAAAACCCGGTTTAAATTAAGCGCTGGTTTAAATCTTGAAACATTTAATACAATTCTAAGTGGAACCAACCATATCTAAATGGCGGCTTAAATTTAAACCGCCGCTCAAATTCTTTAAATTCGGCCATTGGACATGTATATTTCATAACCATAAATCACTAATTTTTAAGCTTTAGTTTTAAGAAATAATTGGCAAAATTCTCATCGATTTTTCCCTAAGGATCACAGTGGGGGAGGAGGGGGGTTCATAAAACATTTTAGTGTCCGTTTCATTTTCTTTATCAAGTTTGCATTGTGATTAATGGTGATTAATGGTGATATATCAGAAGATTTGAAACAATCATTTCAAATTCAAAAAAGAAGTGTCTCAAAACTTTTTATTTTTTTCCCCCACCAAAATTGCGTCCCATGTTTTGATTAAAACTGGTTTTAGAAAGTTTTTTTTTAATTTAAACCGTTAAACTGATTAAAACTGTTTCTAGAAATTTTTTTGAAAAAATGCAAATATGTTTTCTGGATCTTTGCTTCGTAAAAGATGCTTCTTGTTATAATTAATATTAGCTGTGAGTCGAGTAGACAGAAAATAATTTATATTTCCACCTGTACGTTTTCAACTGTTTTCCAACTGTTTTAACAATATACGAAGTTTTAAACATACATATGATCATTGTTTAAATCGGTATTTGCAAATTCAAACCACCACTGTCTTAGTGAGATATCTTCGGTTGTATATTTAAAATGTGTTGAATTCTGTATATTTTCTGATTTAATTTTGCAGCGAGAATACAGATACCATTTCAAAAGAGAGTTTTAGGTATAAAAATGTGGATATCTCCCTCATTCTTAATTAGAGAAAGGTTGAAATGGTACCGTTGTGAATAGAACATACCATGTTTTTTTTGATGGAGGTGTCTCCTTTAATGGGCCAAAAATGGCAAGAAACGTGATAAAAATCCATATCTATTTCCAAACTCTGGGAATTTCCTTCTAAACTATAAAACAAATATCTTTATATTTAATATTTACATTGTATTTGATATCAATCTAGGGGAATCAATACCAGACAAACTTAGTCAACGATTTTAAACCATAATAAATATCCGATTTATTTATTTTTCTTATTTGCTCTTGTAGGACAAGAAATTCCACAGCATTAAGCAGTCAAAATGTTTTTTTGAAATCATACAGATTTTTCCACAAAATTTCACAATATGCATATTAGATTTTAGATTTCATGGAGTAAAATAGAGCTCATAACAGTACTGTATATTGCATAATAATACCGTATATTGCATAACAGTATTGTATATTATATAATAGTACAATAAAGTACAATGCAAATTAGAACAGTACAGTGCACTTGTAGTACAGCACAGCACATTTGCAATAAACCACAGTGAAGAACAGTACAATATTTGATATTTCTTTACAGTACAGCAGATAACAGAATTGCGAGAAATTGCGTTGAATTGCACGGAATTAAAAGGCTCGCAATTAAGTAAATTAAAATGCATCAAATGACATTATCCCACTTAATACAATAGAGTACAGTACAAAAATATACTAAAGTAAAATTTAAAAATGCCTAAATTTGCACTCTTATAATTTCTAAAGTTCCTTGCAGTAGTTGTAAACAGTAAACAGTAAAGTATGGATATAAAACAACATTATATAGATATATTAAAGTTAATGGAACACCTTCAGGGTTAGGGTATAGAGGTGAGAATAGTTATTTTCAGCTCAACCTGCCAAAATATTTCCCTAAAAATTCTTTTTACTTGCAAGAAAAAGCTGAGAAGGAATAGTTAATCATTTTCTGTTTAAATCATTAATTCCCAGCATTTGTGTTTACATTCAGTTTTTATAATTCAAAAGAATTGAATCAGATAGTTTTAATCCTTTTCTTCATTTATTTTACTTTTTTTACTTATTCTCAATATTTGACAGAAAACTAAAACGTTTATTAAAAATCAACATAAAATTGTAAAATAATCTTATTTTCTGCCTTGTTTCTATTATTACCAAATCTTTTAGTATTTTTGCATTTAAATTAAGAAAGAAGTCAACTTCGAATCGGTTTATTTCGAGAGCTGTAAGTCTCATCCTTTCCGGGTAACTATTTTTCTTAATCTTAGTTGTATTAAAGGAATTGAGTCTTTGGAACAAAATCAAATATTTAAACCACAATATCTTTAGAACTCGATGTTGTAAACCTTTGATATTTCAAACTCTGATTACTTGATCTTACAGAATTCATAGTTTGAAATATCTAAGGTCTGCAACATTTGGTTCCAAAGATATAGTGATTAGAAAATCAGAGTTTGTGGCAAAGACTCAATTCCTTTGTTAAAACCTTTAGTTTTTTGTTCATTCTATTGTCTGGGGATTGGGGAAACAGTAAGCTGTGGGTTTTGAAACTAGATACTGTTCAATATACTGTAATAGAGTCTATTAAGCCAGGGGTAAGTTGTACTTTAAATACAACTAATTACACTGCTCCATGTTCTATGTACTAAATTATAAACTACTTTTATTCTATTATTTTTATATCCTGTTAAGCTGTTATCCATCTAGCCTTCTATTCTATCCTTCTTTTCTTTTAATACTTTTATCCTAAACTACTTTTATTCTATTATTCTTCTATCCTATTAGGCTGTTATCCATCTAGCCTTCTATTCTATCCTTCTTTCCTTTTGTCCTTTTATGCTCTTATTCTTCTCTTATTCTATCTTGTTAGGCCGCTATTCTTTTATCCTTCTATCCATCTATCCAACCTTCTATCCTTCTATCCTGTTATTCTTCTCTCCTTCTATTCTTTTATTCTTCTCTCCTTCTGTCCTTTTAGGCTGTTATCCTTCTATCCTTCTATGATTCGATCTTTATTGGCTGTTATTCTATTATCGTTCTATCCATTTTTTCTATCCTTCTATCCTTCTATCTATTTTCTATCTTTTCTAACCGGCCATCTATATATTCTTCTATTCATCTATTCTTGACTTCTTTATTTTATCCTCCTATTTTCATATCCTTCTGTCTACCCTTCCCTTCTACCATCCTTCTATAATCATATTCTACATTCTTTCTATTCTTCTATCCTTCCTTTCTAACCTTCTAACCAATATTAATATTTTGAAAATCCACCATGGAAAACAACTTAATCGGTGAAAAATTTATAACTTTATGATACATGAAGAAAAAATGGTAACATTTTAGACTAAAATAAATGCTATAGGGGCACAAAGTTATATAAAACCCGACTTCCAATAGGCAACAATATAATGCAAAATGAATAAATCTTATTTTTCAGTAAAATATATTTTGTAAAGCTAATTCCTTGATGTGTGATAGTTTAAAAACCAGTTTAATCTAAATACCAATCAAACATTCCTCACCTAGTTTTACATTTTAAAATTCCCTTTCTTTTTGCTTTTCATGCCAAGATGAATTCGCAACTCTTCGCGCCTCTCCTTCGGTAACCAACCGTATTTTATTAGTCCCGCTAAACCAAATCATGAAAGACAGCCATTTATGGCTTTGTTACATTATATGTCATTTAAAACTTAAAATGAAAAATTATAATATTGTGTTTACGTAGCGTAGCGTAGATTATATAATATTATTTCGATTTTTTTATGGGGGTGGGGGTCTTTTAAATTTATGAAAACAATTCCTTTAATTCTGTCAAGTTTTTCAAATCTATTATGAAATAATTGTTATTTTAATATTAATAAACGAGCAATTAGTTCCGATTAAAATCAGATCTGAATAATTGAATAATATTGAGCTGAAGAAGGTTGCAACAGCGTGATGTAAGGACCCGAATTTGTTTAAAGTTTTCTTTGACACAAAGAGCAATGTAATGCATATAATATCGTAACATTACAAAAAGATAACTTGCCAAATTTGCCTTAGATATGTCACTTGATGGGGAAGAGAGTGGGGGGGGGGAGAGGTAGGGGAAATAAGGTAGGAGGGTTGGAGTAGGGTCGAGGGGAAAATGATGAAGGGTTGGGGTTGGGGTAAGGTAGGGGGAAAATGACGTAGAATGGTTTGGGTAAGGTAGGGGGAAATAAGGTAGTGCGTAAAATAGAGAGGGAAAGTAGGTAGATGGGTCGGGGTAAGGTAGGGGGAAATAAATCTATGAGGGTTGGGGTAAGGTAGAGGAGGAAATAAGGTAAATAGGTCGGGGTAAGGTAGGGGGGAAAAGATGTATGAGGGTTGGGGTAAGGTAGAGGGGGAAACGAGGTAATTAGGTCGGGGTAAGGTAGGGGGGAAAAGATGTATGAGGGTTGGGGTAAGGTAGAGGGGGAAATAAGATATTTTTGTTGATAGAATCAAAGAATGTAATCTAATTGCAAATATCTAGACTTTAAAGTGAATATTTGAAAGATTCAAAGGGAAACCAAATAGTTGATTTTAAACTAGAATAAAAGTAAAATGAAGATCAAATAAAATTAAATATTCCTACTTCAAGAAGTCAATGCACTCAACATGCATTGAAGTTTTCTTATTCTTGTTTCATCAAATTTAACGTTTAACAGCTTAAAACATGATATGATATAAAATTATTTGTTTACCAATAAGTTCATATATTTTCAGTGTGAACCCATTTAATAGAAAGCAAAATTGAAGGACTTGTTTCGACGTAATTTCAAATTGTATTAATTTTTCTTTTTTGAGAATTTAATATGTTTTTAACATTTTAATTTGTTTTCAGGCACAGATCCAATGAGTGCTGTTTGTTCAAATAATGCCACGCAATAATTTAAACGAAGAAGAATGTAATCAATCAATCATGTGAAGACGACCGGATCAGTAATCTCTCTAACTTGAGGAAACAGAAATATATTTAGAGTGTACTTTCAGACTTCTTATTTTTGGAACATGTTGGAAGACATTAGATCTGATTAGTTCATTAGTTTCACGACAATGTTAGAACAAGGTTTTATTTGTGAAAAAAGGGAAAATTATATTTTTTTAGGATTTCCCGCATTCGCGAGGGGTGGGGTGGGGGGATCATTATTTCTGGCAGAGAATGAAAACTGGATTTTAATTTCCTAATTTTGTCCACTTTGGGAATTTTTGAACCCACAAAAATGATTTATTTACAGAGGGTGATATGGGGTATAAAAATAAACATGAAATTATGAAATAATATATGCTGTGTGTGGAGCAGGGTTGGAAGTATGTGGAGTGAGGGGAAGGAATATAGTGATTACACTTCAGGAATACAAATATACTTCTTAAACGTTTCCAACCATTTTACATCTTTTATGGACACAAGTAGAGATGGGCAGGGGCCGTTGGTAAATATTTAAAATTTTATACTTTACTTCTACCAGAGCTGAAAACGTTAGAATGGAATATCCTTAATCCCGATCGGTTAACCCTATTCCTGCTGGGGGGGGGGGGGAGGTGCAATTTGACCCCCCTTGTAGTTTTTTTCACATAACTCTAAAAGTATTGGTATGAGGCTGTTGAAATTTTCTGACTTTTCCTACATACCCCAAGCCCTCCCTTTAGGCCTAAAACCGGGCTTTAATAATAACTGCCTGAGTCCTCAGGCACACTGCCTGAATGACTGCTTTTTCCTGTAACAAACTAAATCTTTGTTTTGACCCACTTCCACTTGTCAGATTTTGATAAAATTTAGCTTTTTGGAAAGCCTTTGACATAAGGAAACGGATTGCACAAGTTTTGCAAAAAAAATTGCAAATTTTTTGCAAACAACTTTTCAAAGGAATTTTGCACATTTTTAGTTTTTCTTGATTAAAAATCAGGTTATTTAAAATTTTTCAAAATTTTTTGCATATTTGAAATGGCATGGATAAGGGCTTTTCAAAAATGTATAATTTTTTAATTTTTGGATAATTTTTTTTTTGCAAACATTTTTACTATATAACTGGATTTTAAGATAAAAAATTCAATTTTTGCAAATTTGCAATTTTTTTTTGCATATTCTAAAAGTAGAGCACAAGAGCTTTCCAATGATGTATCATTTGNTATCCTGGTTTTCAAGTACACCAGCAGAGATAGGGTTAATTAATCTGGAGATTAATAACACAGACACATTTGTTGTATTGCGCAGTCTTATTTCTGCGTGTCTGCATAGCGGAGGCTAATGGCGTCCGGGGGTTCCCTCCCTCGTTAGACTTAGCAGATGTTTTTAAACACTAAAAAGCTAAATCAAAACTTTTAAAAACGTACGTTTAAAAAAGAATAAAATAATAAAAAGGGATGAAAATGAATGAAAAAGGATGGATCATTGATGAAAATAGATGAAAAGGATGAAAAGGAGGAAAAAGATGGGTAAAGATAAAAAACGGTTGAAAAGGATGAAAAAAGAATGGATAAAGATGAAAAAGTATGAAAATGGGTGAAAAGGATGAAAAGAATGAAAAATTATAAAATAGGATTTAAACAAATGAAAAATTTGAAATGGATGAAAAAGAATAAAAAGGATGCACAACACTAAACATCCAAAATATTTCCAACCATTTAACATCCTTTATGGACACAAGGTTTAAGCAATAAAAAAGAAATGTTCAATACTCAGAATTAAACAAAGGAAATTAACAAATATTTTATTACAACATTTGTGAAAATGGACAAAATGTGGAAAATATTTTTGTGTTATTTGTCTGTCTCGGTTCTCTTTCATCTACAATGCAGTATATACGAGTTTTCGCGTTTTGTAAACATATGAATATTTGTTTTGAAGATGGAAAAGGAAGTTTTTCTGGAACCCGATCCAACCAGATCTCTGGAACACGTTCCAGTCCCACCTGGGAACAAGGAACCAGTTTAGATATAGTGTCACCAGACTTAAAAGACAGGGTGTTCCAAAAAACATGGAAATTAAGTGACGAAAAGAAAATAAAATTAGGCGATTACACAATTCTATAGTACGAGAACAAAGGTAAAATTGCTTAAATCTTTTACTTGCAGTTTTAGTTTTAATGTCGTCAATAAATTCTTATGTTTATTAGAGCACCCTGAAATCAAAGAAAGGTGTTTCTCAACCAATACACTTTTTATTTACGACGTCTGCCGCGCTCCGTACTTTTACAAAATATAATTCATTTAAATCAGTTGATTTTATTTAACAACTTCTTTAATAACTTTTTTGAAAAGGGACTAAATAACTTAATATATTGATGTTACCTTATGCAACAGTACAATTTGGATACATTTCACTGAAATTAAAATATATATTTTTCTTAAAGAACTGACTAAAATGACAGGAAATCATTGGAGAAGAACAGAAAGGACAGGTAAGGACTAACGAAGACTGAAAAGGACTAAAAGGGAATGGAAAGCAATGAAACGGAATGAAAAGGACTTATAAAAGGACTAAAAAGGACTGTAAACGACTGAAAGGGACTACGAATGAATTTCAAAACAGTTTATTTCTATTCTAATGTATATATTTCTTGCTTCGTTTTTAAAGCTTATCCATACTTCTCTAATTTTGAAAAAAAAATATTTTAAACCATTTTCTTTTGTTTATCTTTTATTTTCGTGGATCTCTTTCCGCCATTTTGATTTTCCCCTCTTTTCTTTTAACCCCGTTGTAGTCTGAGTTGATGGTTATGTGCCAACCTTAAAATCGTCTATTCAAGCCTTAATTCCTAGTCCTCATCCTTGTAAGTAGAGGTAATCTCTTTAAATGAGGGGGGGCGGCTACCGAAGAAACTCTAGTGGGGGAGGGATAACGCCTCCCCCACCCCCTTCCTAGCCATGTTTTTCATAAATACATCTCATTCTTGAGCGAACAGGATAATAAGACTTGTTCGTGATTATTACACGTAAACACCTGCGGCAGCAGCCAAAAAATTCTTTTATATCTATTATCTTATATAAACATATGAAAAGATACACTTAAAAAAAATTTATTACTCTTTTTTAAACTTTACTTAAATCAAATCTAGCTGGATACAAGATGTAAAAGAAACATGCACGGCTAAATATAAACACAAATTTAAACTTAGAGTCATTTTATTTTCAAAGTTTAACTGAAGTTTTGAATTTACATTTTTTCTGATTCGATAATATTTTTCAATTCGAGAATTATAGTATTCTACATTTTGTAACACAGATATAGATATTTTCATTTTATCATTTGTAAAGATAATCTTTTAAATAAAATGCATAAACATGAACTGGTTGAAACTAAAAGGATATACAGAGCTGATGATGTATGACGACCCAGGGGATCCAGACTATCTGGGACACCTGGAGAACATCAAGAACCAGGACTACTTAGCAAACCAAGAGAACCAGGAGAACCGGGGTCATCTTGAAAACCTGGATCAGATGTATGATTCAGAGTTCTTCAATTGTACACAGGTAGCAAACCTTAAAGGGACTGTAAACGTTATTTCAAATGACCTTCCATAGTGGCATGTCTCATTCAATTTGGCAATCTCTAAAACATTTTCTGAGAAAGCTTTTCTGATTTGTTAAACTGAAAATTAAATGCCGGGAAACTCGTGTGAACACTGGCATGGTGAGTTGTGTACACTCAATTTTCATCCTTGACGAGACAATGTTCTGATAAAAGGCTACCCTTGTGTATCAGACGTGCCAATCTACAAATGTCGGGTCAGCGAAAAAAGTTTGGTGCGAAAAAACAAACGCCACTCAATCTAAGTTCAACAGCCCCTGACAATATTTTCTCTGCAACATTATAATAAGTAAGTTTCTGTTCTAATTTTGATATAATCCCCCCTCGTGGAAAGTTAAAGCAAATCTAAAAATAAAATATTAATATTAATGTTTAATTAAAACTAGATTGCTACATTGCTAAAGGGTGTTCACAAACAAATTTGTTTGGGTTAAGACATGGAATTGAACACATGCAAAAATCTTGTTGGTGATCAATTTGAAAGTTCATATCCATATAGTTTCAAAGGCATGAATACTTGAAAAGGTTAATTTTGTCTAAAATGCGTAAAAGCTCTCAATTACGCGTCACACAATTTGTGGACACTAAGTTTTAAATATTCAAAATCCACAATTTTCTTGACACCCGTTTAGTGCCAGGTTGTATTCTAATTTAAAGAAATGTATATAACGAGGTTGACGGAAAACATTGCATTTTAGTATATTGCTTCTTTTCTAATTAAATACAGTCTATGTCTCGCTATTGCTTCTAATACTACAGTTAACTGCAGGTTTAATGGTATTAAGAAAGGAATTAGGAAATTGGAATAGTTTCTTTTAAAAGTTTAATATATTTGATCCGAAAATCTAGCGTGTAAATATAAAGTTTTAATCTCTGTTTGGGTGTCTGTTTGTTTGTCCGATCATAACTCAGGAACCTCATTACCGATTAGCCACAAATTTTGATTAAGGAACCACGGGAATTTTATTAGCTTGGTTTTAAGATTCTAAGTTGAGTGGATCGACTTTAAAAGCGAAAAAAACGGCGGGAATAACTATGAGTACCCTGGGTAACGCTGGGTTTCCAAGTACTATTTGGTACAATTCGGACTGGTACAGTGCTGGTTTACAACTTAAAATAACTTACCGTACCGTACACTGTAAGTCTAACTTGTGAACCCGTCACGACCCCAGTAGTAGATTTACCTGGATAAAATGTGATCAAATGTGGTAAATACAATTTAAAAGTTGCCATTATGGATATCGGGCTCAGGCGTGGTAGATTACCGCTTTCTTAAACATTAGTTCCAACCTCAGGCTTATAAACTAATATTTTGTTATGTTTAGGACAACTTCACCTTGTTTACAAACATATCCAACTGTACTGCAGCAAATAGTACACTAACAGATGGGGATTGGTACAAGGTAAATGTTTTTAAAAGATTTAGCAATAACTATGTCAAAGCTTTTTTTTGCTAACTTTGCTATTTTGTGAGAAGTGTACATTTACAGGAGACATATTGGAACATTTTTAAATTTAATTTAGTATAATTAATTCAAGGTGTTTTCTCATTTCAAAACTTAATTCGAGGAAGGAAAAGAAACCAGAGTATAATATAATTTATTTCGTTAGTTTCTAATTCTGGAAAATCTGGCAAAATAATCCGGACAAATCTACGAGAACGAATTACGTAATTCTTGGAAGCTAGTCTCAGGACATGTTCAAACAGTCTAAATATATATTATATATATTAATATATATATATAATATATATTATAATATGGTGAACCGTGTAAATAATGAAAAACTTTCTGTTGCTTGCCGTCGTTTTTGATGCACACATTGCTACAAGAAAATTATTAAAGCAAAAAAAATGCCATGTTTTTGGAGTGGTACACCCTACCCTTTGTCTGATTTTTTAATCTTGCAAGCATCCTTGCTTAAGATTTGGTCCTGACTTGATTTTGTTAAANTATTAACACTATCTATATATTACAGATCTATCTGTTAAGTTACAATGTATTAACACTATCTATATATTACAGATCTATCTGTTGGGTTCTTATCTGTAAAACTATCTATATATTACAGATCTATCTGTTGAGTTAATATGTGTTAACACTATCTATATATTACAGATCTATCTGTTGGGTTCTTATCTGTAACACTATCTATATATTACAGATCTATCTGTTGAGTTAATATGTGTTAACACTATCTATATATTACAGATCTATCTGATGGGTTCTTATCTGTAAAATTATCTATATATTACAGATCTATCTGTTGGGTTCTTATCTGTAACACTATCTATATATTACAGATCTATCTGTTGGGTTACTATCTGTGACATATATCTATTACAGATCTATCTGTTGGGTTACTATCTGTAACACTATCTATATATTACAGATCTATATGTTAAGTTTCTATGTATTAACACTATCTATATATTACAGATCTATCTGTTAAGTTCCTATGTGTTAACACTATCTATATATTACATATCTATCTGTTGGGTTACTATCTGTAACATATATCTATACATTACAGATCTATCTGTTGGGTTACTATCTGTAACATCTATCTATTACAGATCTTTCTCTTGCTTTACTATATGTAACCTTATCTATCTATTACAGATCTATATGTTGGGTTACTATCTGTAACATACATCTAATGCAGATCTCTCTGTTGGATTACTATCTGTGACATATATATTACAGATCTATCTGTTGGGTTACTATCTGTGACATATATCTATTATTACAGATCTATCTGTTGGGTTACTATCTGTAACAACTGATATCATCTGGAAAATCACAGTTAGTTGGGAGGCAGGCCTGGTGGCTTGTAAAGCAATTAGGTAATTTTTTATTCATTTATTCATCATTACTTTATATAGGCACCTTTTTACCACCCAGCTTATTCAATCAAAATAATATTATTTCTTCATTTGAAATTCACAACTTTTAACTAAATGATGAAAAGTGAATCTTGTTTCATGAATCATGAAAATTCGCAAAAAGTCAGTTGTGCGAAAAATCTGCAAATATTCCACCGCCAAAAGGGGAGCAATTCGTAAAATTATAAACAGTTTTTTGTATGAATAACCCGGGGCGATTCACGGTTTACAAAAGGGCATGATTCTGCGAATTTTGAATCAAATTATTATAATTGGGATTTTATACAATAATTTAGAATATGAAGTTTTCATTTGATTTAAAACAAATTCTTTTATTTATTAACCCCGTAACTTTGTTTTTATATTTTAATCAATCAATTAATTATTGAAGAAGCAAATCCTTCCACTCTTTTATCAACTGGTGTATCCCGCTGCGGTTATTATATGTTTATCCTTTTATTCCATTCTATTTATTCTATTCTATTCTATTCCGTTTTATTGGAAATAAAAAGTTTCTTTTTGCGGAAGTTGTAAAAAGAGCTTTGTGTTATATTTGTATTAAATTTCTTATATCTTTCTTTCTGCAGCAGACATGTGTAATGGAACAGTTAACGTTCCTTGCTCTACTCCTGAGTTTAATAGTCATAATGTTAATTTTTTATCTATATTTAGACAAAACATTTAACGTTCCTTGCTCTGCTCCTGAGTATAATAGTTCTAGTGTTCCATAATATATATATATAATATTTAGACGGAACAGTTAACATTCCTTGGCCTACTCCTGAGAATAGTGCTAATGTTCCATTATATATGTATATTTAGACGGAACAGTTATCGTTCTTGGTCTACTTCTAAGTTTAATAGTCATAATGTTCCATTTTATATATATTTAGACGGAACAGTTAACGTTCCTTGGTCTACTCCTGAGTATAATAGTTCTTGGGAACTCTATGGTTCTCGTGGCTCTCCTCTCTTCCAAAGCCCGGAAATCTAGAATGAATTTCTTCATAATGCATTTAGCTGCAGCAGGTAGAGATATATCTGGGCATTAAATGCATAATGGGACAAAATATTGTTTATTCTAGAAGAACAAAAAACAAATAATATTTTGCTGTAAAGAAATGCTTTAAAAAGACACATTGCAAATGATATTTTGTTTCATAAGGTAAATTACAAAAGATAATTTTTTATTTATAATGGGACACATCATAAATACAAAAGCACTACATAGAAAAGTTAACTATTTTTTAGTTATAATGGGACACAACATAAATACAAAAGCAGTACATTAGAAAAGTTAACTATTTTTTCAAATGAGAATAAAGTCAATTGGTCAATTTAAGAATATTAAATCGTTCTGGTAATTAATCTATCTTTCAAATATTTAGACTTTATTTATCTATACCAGAACTATCTGTAGAGTTAATATGTGTTAACACTATCTATATATTACAGATCTATCTGTTAAGTTCCTATGTATTAACACTATCTATATATTACAGATCTATCTGTTAAGTTACAATGTATTAACACTATCTATATATTACAGATCTATCTGTTGGGTTCTTATCTGTAAAACTATCTATATATTACAGATCTATCTGTGATGGCATTTAGACAATCTGAAAGTTTTCCCAACAAAACATTACTGAGTGTCTGATAACGGGACTTTGTCCGTTTAAACTTTTCATTTCTAATCTCTGAGTTCATTTATCACAAAACATATTACAAGATAATACAAACTGTCTTTCAAAACTTTCATCCTTCGAAGATTGTAATAAAGGGAAAGAATTAAGTATTCGTTTGTTTTTATTTGTGCAAACTCAGTTCCGCTTAGTCATGTTTGTGTAACACGGATAACTATTTTTCACGAGGGGGAAAATGAGGGAAAATTCAAGCAAATTTAACAGTTTTGTCTGATAAATGTTAAAAAGATTACACAAAAGGTTTTAGAGTAAAAAGCAAGAATTCAAACATACAAAACACACTTGATTGTAAGATTGTAACTTACATTTATGTAATGTAATGTATTTCTATGTTTGTACAATATTCATATGTAAATGTACTGTATGTTTAGGTTTGCACAGTGTATTGTAACCTATAGGTCTACAATGTACTGCATGTTTAGGTTTTAACAGTGCAGTGTAGTGTATTGTAACCTCATCTACATTTGTACTGTATGTTTAGATTTGAACGGTGTATTGTATCCTGAGGATCTACATTATGTACTGCTTGAGTACGTTTAGGTTTCTACGTAAAGTTCATTGTAACCGGCTCAGTTACATTTGCCTAGTCACATTTTGCATAGTCACATTTTGCCTAGTCACATTAAGCTTAGTAATATTTTTCCTAGTCAATGCTTAGTAACATTTTGCTAGTCACATTTTGTCTAGTCACATTTTTCCTGGGTAACAGTTTGTCTAGGTAACATTTTACCTAGATAACGGATTACCTAATTAACACATCGCCTAGGGTAACATAAGAGCAAATTTTTTGCCTAGTTAATAATTTTTTTCACAAAGAAAATTTTGGAAAATCCGCGAATTTGTCATAAAAAATTCTGCAACTTTTTGAAAATCATTTAGTTCCCTACCATACCATGCCATGCCGAAAGATGATTTTATTCAAACCTTTGCTCAATGATGTAAACTGTTTCTGTAAAATAACTCTGATACATAACCATGTTTTATCATTTGTAGAGTAAATACACGCTAATTTTGCTGCAGAAGAGAATACAAGATACAATTCCATTTTCCTTTTACATTTAATTCATTTAAATTTAACTGGTTCAGCTTAAAATAAATGTTTAATTTTTGACAAAATCTGTTTGAAAAAAAAGCAAGAGGCAAAAAACTTGCTCTCGCGTTACCCTGGCAAAATGTCACTTGGCAAAACTGAACTAGGCAAAATGTGACTTGGCAACATGTGACTTGGCAAAATGTGTTATAGACAAATTGTGACTATAGGCAAAATGTAGCTGAGCCACTGTATGTTTAGGCTTGTACAGTGTATTGTAACTTATTCGTCTACAAATGTACTGTATTTTTAGGTTGCTACAGTGTAATGTAACCTACGGATCTACATATGTACTGTATGTTTAGGTTTGTGCAGGGTATTGTAACCTCTGGATCTACATATATACTACTGTATGTTTAGCTTTGTACAATGTATTGTAACCTATTCAATTCATCTACATATGTACTTTATCTTGTGGTTTGTACTGTGTATTGTGACATGTGGATTTACATATGTACTGTGTGTTTAGATTTGTACAGTGTATTGTGACCTATGGATCCACATATGTACTTTGTGTTAGATTTGTAAAATGTATTGCAAACTACGGTTTTGCATATGTACCGTATGAAAATATAATTAGGCTTGTACACTGTACAGTTTATTTTTGTACAGTGCATTGTTAACTACATATCTACATATGTACTTTATGACTATGTTTTTAACATGCAAAACAAATGTACCGCATGTTTAGGTTTGTTCAATGTATTGTGACCTATGGATCAACATATGTTCTGGTAGCTCTGAGTATAGACAGATACGATGCTATCACACATCCGATGAACTTCACAGGAAGTTGTAAGTTTTTCTTTCTTTAAAAATTTTCTTTTTGTAACTTAGAACAGTACTTACTTGTTCTTTCTTTACTTTTCTTATTTATTTTAATTTTTATCTTGTTAACTGTAACCGAAATGTATTTTTCACTTGGAATTACGCTTACAGTCCCTTTAAGTTTCTGAGCCTGAAGTTGAATATAGTCTTTTAATGGTAATATATATGATTCGAAAAACCATAAATATAAAAAAAATTTAACCGACCTCATTTTTTATGGATATTCCTGTATATGTGTTTACCAGGGAGGAGAGCAAAACTGTTGGTTCTAGCATCCTGGATACTTAGTATTATATTCTCTCTTCCCATCCTTCTATTCTACGATATCTACGAACATAAAGGTATAAGAACATGTACAATTGCACACTGGGACCCATAAAACTCTGGTTAAACACATTTAAGTATTATTTTGAGTTTTGATTTTATGGGACTATGTATTGGACTATGAGTTTTAATGGACTATTTAGAATCATAACTTGAGTAAACATGTCGTCTTTCTATGCCTATAGTTAATTGGAATTTCCTGTGCTAAGCATGCATACAGTGTATACAGTAAATTGTGCAAGACGAACAGTAAAAAGTCCAAATTCTTCTGAAAAATGCACAATATTGCACTTTTGTGGCGTGAATGAAAAATATCTGAATTTTCCAATCCGTGTTTTCGCATATTTTTTCCTAACAGATCGTGCAATCTTTAACCGATGGACACAAATTTGCCCAGATTTATATTTCCGCAACCCCATCTGTTTGCAAATACGCAACAAATCTTGCAAAATATACAAGACAGAGTTCAGAGATAATTTTATAAGATGTAATTTCACGTACAGTGCACAATGCACATTGTATAGTGTACGTGCAGCGTTAGTGCACAGTGTACAGTGTACACTGTTATATGTTTACTCACATTGCAAGAATTGCAGACATTGCATATCTTTGCATCCAATGTCGTAATTAAATATTTCAAACTGCGAGTTTTTAAGAACAAATCATCCAAGTTTGAAATATCAAAGGTGTACACCATAGGTTTTTAAAGATGTGGGAATTGGAAAAGATTTGTTTATTGCATATAGACCTAATTCATTTAACGTTAGCCTATAATCCTGATGTTTTTTTAAACAAGAGTTTTCAGGAAGAACAAAAAGTTTTTGGATTTTTTAACATCCAACTCAAAAATTTGCTTTTCTTATAACACGGGCGTAAAAACAAAAACTATAGGTCATAGGAGCTATAAGGTCACAAATTCGCACTATTATACTATCATTATTTTATTTTTGATTTATTTTATCATTAAACGAATTATGTTCTTTAATTATTATTATTCCTTAAATGATAAAGTAAAACTGAAATAAAAGCTCCAAATGTTAGATTAATAAGTTGATAGGGGGGGGGGGGTAAAAGAGATGAATCGATTGAAGAAGGGTTGAAGAATGGTATTTATTGATGTTTAATATATTCTGATATATCCCTGCCTAACCAACGATTATTATTAAAGCCACCATATTTAGAGAAAACTAATTTTGATATTGACATCAGCAATCAGCAGTCAACATGCAAATAAGACAATTATCAGCCCGTCACCTATATATTCATAAATATATACTAGACACTAGACAGGGTTGAATTTAGTTTTGTTTTTTGGGGCTTAAAAGTAGACTTTACTGATTTTTCTCCATACAAAAAAAGTTTGCAGCTGCAGGGAACCAAGGATTTAAGAGAATAGGCTGAATAAATTCTCTACAGTCGGCTCTGAAGTCTCATCTTTTATGGGTAACCCTGTATTTCAAATACAGGGTTACCCACAAAAAAAATGAGACTTTATGGACTCTGTATAGGTTTTTCTTAGTCTTTCTTATTCTTTTCAAGGTTCGATTTTGTTTTTTATTATTATTTATTTCATTGACATATATTTTAAAATCATTATATTTATTAAGTATTATGTACCTTTTTTTATCAAAGAGGCGTACGTTACGTACAGCCCAGGTATTTCAAGTTGTCGCTTTATGATAAGATGTCAGTTTAATAGCTTTTTGACGCAAAGACACTTTTTAGGCCCCAAACTTCTGGAATTTTGAATTGGAATTTAAACAAAATAAAAGTTGTAAAATTTTGCCAATATACGGACATGAAAAAATGTAAAATCTTCTGAACCATAATTTGGTCATTTTTTTCAAAATTTTAAATTTAATAATAGTTTTAAATTTTTAAATATTGGGTACAGGTCATACAGAAATATTCTTTTATAATTCTTCTTTTCATAGTATTTTCCTCCTCGATGTTTCCTTTTCTTCTTTTGTTGACTGACCCTTCCGCTAATATTGGTAACGTCATTCATTTATGATTCTCCCTTTAAAGTTTATCAATTCTCAAGGAAAATTTTCAATCTAGACTTCCCGTACAGTCCATTTAAATTGTTTAAGGAAATGTTGTGTAAAGGTGTAATTATATATTCTTGTGGTAAACTAAACCAATTGAACTACTTCCAGCAGTATACTTGAAGTTCTTAATTAGATGTAGAACTAGATACGTATTATATAATTTGTAAATTCATCAGAACACAATTTGAACCAAATTAATAAATCACAAAACTACAAAAGATAACGGTCAACGACGCGTTTAGCTTTCGAAGATGTCCAAAGACATTTCGACCTTTTCATTAAACGTTGATCGAATCTCAAAAAACTTTGTTTGGATCTCATAAATTTTGATAGAATCTCATAAAACTTTGAAAGAATCTGATAAAACTTTGATAGAATCTCATAAAACTTTGATTGAATCTCAAAATACTTTGAAAGGATCTTTTGCAATTTTGATATAATCTCCTTAAATTTTGCTAGGATCTCACAAAATTTTGATACAGTCTCAAAAACTCTGATAGATTGATCTCAAAAAACATGATAGTTTTCACACAATTTTGATAGAATCTCATAAAACTTTGATAGAATCACAAACGACTTTAATATAACTTTGGTGAAATCAATTTTGAATTGTATTTTACATGTCTCAGTAATAATGTTAACCATCTGAGATAAATTCAAGGTTTTTTGCAAATTTGTTTTCAAAGCACGCATGGTATGATAATTTTTCTGGAGGCACTATAAGAGCGTCAAACTATAAGGTTAACCCCAAAATAAGCAAGCTTCCATTTTATATTGAATTTAGTGATAAAAGTATGAACGAGTATATTTCTGATATTAAGCTTTCTTGTGTTCACTGGTCCATCAGAAAATTATAGTTTCTTCTCGTAAAATCTACAGAATCTACAAAGTTTTGCGAAAATTGTAGAACTAATAATAGTAACACAAACGTTTATTTAAAGAAATACTCAAGTTGCATGAGTTTTCAGTTTTCCAATTATCCAAGATGAAATCTTTAGATTATTATACACTCAGATATACATCATAAACCCCCCGATACAAGACTCTAAATTCAGTGTGATTTTGCGTCCTTCTACCTCCTAAAAAATGTTTTCTAAGAACACATATATTTTTTGTTAAATATATTTTAGACCGCGGTCCACGGAACTCAATGTAGATAATAATACTTATATTCTAGATCGACTACAAAACCCAATGAAAATACTTGTATTTTAGAATACGGAACACAATGAAAATTTTTGTATTCTAGATCGACTACGAAATTCAATGAAAATACTTGTATTCTAGACTACAGAACACAATGAAAATACTGGCATTCTATACTAAGGAAGACAATAAAAATACTTGTACTTTAGACTATGGAACAAAATGAAAATATTTGTATTCTAGACTACGGAACACAATGGAAATATTTATATTCTAGACTACGGAACACAATGGAAATACTTGTATTCTAGACTACGGAACATAATGAAAATTCTTGTATTCTAGACTACGGAACACAATGGAAATATTTATATTCTAGACTACGGAACACAATGGAAATATTTGTATTCTAGACTACGGAACCCAATGAAAATAGTTGTACTTTACACTACGGAACACATTGAAAATACTTGTATTCTACACTACGGAACACAATAAAAATACTTGTATTCTAGACTACGGAACACAATAAAAATACTTGTATTCTAGACTACGGAACAATAAAAATACTTGTATTCTAGACTACGGAAAACAATAAAAATACTTGTACTACGGAACACAATAAAAATACTTGTATTCTAGACTACGGAACACAATAAAAATACTTGTATTCTAGACTACGGAAAACAATAAAAATACTTGTATTCTAGATTACGTAACATAATAAAAATAATTGTATTCTAGACTACGGAAAAAAATAAAAATACTTGTATTCTAGACTACGGAACACAGTGAAAATACTTGTATTCTAGACTACGGAACACAATGAAAATACTTGTATTCTAGACTACGGAACACAATGAAAATACTTGTATTTTATATTACGGAACTCAAGAAAAAATCTTGTATTCTAGAATACGGAACACAATGAAAATTATTGTGTTCTATACTACGGAACACAATGAAAATACTTGTATTCTAGACTACGGAACACAATGCTGGATTGATTTCCCTGAAGCCTGGCACTGGAAGCTATACATGACACTCATAGCTATCACACTCTTTCTACTCCCAGCTATCTGTATAGCTACTTGCTACACAGTTATAGTCAGGTAGTCCAGCTACTGCTCTACTCCCAGCTACTGTATAGCTACTTGCTACACAGTTATATTCAGGTATCCAGCTACTGCTCTACTCCTGCTACTGAATAGCTACTTGCTACACAGTTAAATTCAGGTAATCCAGCTACATTTCTCTACTCCCAGCAACCGAATAGCTACTTGCTACACAGTTAAAGTCAGGTAATCCAGCTACATTTCTCTACTCCCAGCAACCGATTAGCTACTTGCTCAAAGTTATAGTCAGGTAATCCAGCTACTGCTCTACTCCCAGCTACTGTATAGCTAATTGCTACACAGTTATAGTCAGGTAATCCAGCTACATTGCTCTACTCCCAGCTATCTGTATAGCTACTTGCTACACAGTTATAGTCAGGTAATCCAGCTACATTGCTCTACTCCCAGCAACCGAATAGCTACTTGCTACACAGTTATAGTCAGGTAATCAAGCTACATGTCTCTACTCCCAGCAACCGAATAGCTACTTGCTACACAGTTATAGTCAGGTAATCAAGCTACATTTCTCTACTCCCAGCAACCGAATAGCTACTTGCTACACAGTTATAGTCAGGTAATCCAGCTACTGCTTTACTCCTGCTACTGTATAGCTACTTGCTACACAGTTTAAGTTTTTAAATCTAGCTACGTTTCTCTTATTCCTCTTGTTGCAGCACAGCTAAAGTGGAACATTAGACAAATTAGACAATCTATTTGTCAATAAATCAAAGTTAGAATTAATTATTTCCTTTTTCCTCATTATATTGAATTTCTTATTTTCCATGAATTTGTTCGCAAATTTCTTTAAATTCTTTAAAATGTCGTCTTTTTATTAAAAATTTCAGAAAACCTGCAGAAAATCTGCTGAAAATCTTTGTGAGAAAAGAAAGATTATAGAAACTAATAATTGAATAAGATTACTTATTTTCGATTCATAAAGTTTTATATGTCTGAAATGAATCCTAAAGAATTTGTCCACAACACTGCATACTCAGTTCAACTACCTTACATAGCCGGTCTGTCCCTATAAGTTTAAAAGAAAAAGTTGGCAATATACTGCTTGATTTTAAGTGAGAGAGTGCACATCTTGATTTGCAGTTTGCCATTATGCATCAGTTTGCAAAGTAGAGTTTTCGGCAAGTAATCAGTTTCCTTTTAAGCATTGAAATTATATGCAAAAAAGTGTTATTTCATAGATAACTAATTTATACAGTTTACACCTTTAATGAGAAATTTGTTCCGCAAAATTGCGCAAAAAGGAATAACGCAAACGCCGGGATAGCGCAAAATGAAGTTTGCAAATAAATGCGCAAAGTGCAATCTTTTCGCGCAAAAATGTAGCAAAAGTTTTGCGAATGGAAACCCTTTCTATCATTCGTCTTCTAATTTCATAGTTTATAGGTCTCATTGTATAGTATTTCTATCTCCCTGTATAATCCAAACCAATAAAACTACCATCCCGCATTCTGAAATAGGAATTAAGACAACTTTTAAAGTCATGTTTTAATTTTAAACAGTACAATGAGCATGATACATAGCAATTGTGCAGTGTAAACAGACCCATCTTACTAAATTAGTGATTTAGTAAGTGTCAATTAAAACTATTTGCGGATTGTAACAACATCAAAGACACTTCAGTATTGCAAACTTGTCGTCTTCATATTCCACAGTTTTCTGGCTATCACTGTAGATACACATCATATAATATATATAATACTAGAAATTCAAGGCGCTTCGCGCCCTTCTTTCTAGCCTTAGAGGGCGCTTTGCGCCCATCTTCTAAATTAGTTGTGAACATGTTCTCTTTGTGTACATCGTAAAACAAAACAAAAATAATTCGCGGATTTTCACAAAAATTTCGCGGATTTTCAAAATTTTTAAAAATTTAATGACGATCGAATTTTGATGGAGACAAATATTTGAAATTTTGATTTTCCATAAACCTTCCCTGGGGTCCCTAGATGTCCCACAAAAAATTTGGGCCCGATCGGTTCAGCCGTTTTGACGTTAATTGGATACAAACAAACAAACAAACAGACAAACAGACAGACAGACAGACAAGCCAAATTTATATATAGATATGATTGATGTTGATTGTATCTATATATAAATTTGGCTTGTCTGTCTGTTTGTTTGTTTGTTATGAAAAATCAAAATTTCAAATATTTGTCTCCATCAAAATTCGATCGTCATTAAATTTTTTAAAATTTTGAAAATCCGCGAAATTTTTTGTTAAAATCCGCGAATTATTTTTGTTTTGTTTTACGATGTACACAAAGAGAACATGTTCACAACTAATTTAGAAGATAGGCGCGAAGCGCCCTCTAAGGCTAGAAAGAAGGGCGCGAAGCGCCTTGAATTTCTAGTAATGTATAATCACTGTACATATCAACCTATTTGGGTGTAGGCTAGGTGAACTTTACGCAATCAGGAGTCTTGGAATAATTATCATAATTTTGACATAATGTTTCATAATTTATAAATCTTCACAAATATATGATAACATCTCTACTTAGGAAATTTTTATGTAGCATTAGAAGAAATACAAAAAGAAGCGTAAACAAAAAAGTATCAAATTAATGTTTAAAAACAGAGCTTTACTCTTCATTGACCTTCTTGAGAAACCAGCTTTACCAGAAGATTTAATAGTTTGAAAAAATCAAAATCAGATTTAGAGGCAAATAGATCAAAGGGTTCATGAGTTATGATGTGACAAGCAAACAAACAAACAGACAAAGAAAAACTATTAGTTAATTTTGTATATAAGCTATATGTTTATGATATAACATGAAAATAAAGAATTATTATATAGGGTGTGCCAATTAATCATGCTAAGCAGACCGACACCCTGTATATAATAATTCAAACATAATTCCTTGTTAATACTAATGTAGTATTCTAAACTTCTCGGAGCTGGTTTTTTTCTTGTCTTTGACAATTGCAGTTTAAAATTTATGAGGCGAATAGCTCTGCTAGCTCTGTTCGGACTTTTTTCCCTGTAGGCTGTTTATACAGTGAGTCACAAAAAGCATGATTAGCGTTTCTGGGAATTTTGGACTTCCCCTTGTATTCGTAAAAACACAAAATACATCATACTTATGAGCTTTTTTGCAAAATGAAATGGTGGCAGGTTTACATATACAGATTGAGAACCCGGATTTGTTTGTTTTTTTATTAGATAAACTTAGAATATTTGATTTAAGAACATTTCCGTGGTTAAACTGAGTTCTCCAATACAAAATTTGAGGCAAACCGGTTCAAAGGTTGATGAGTTATGATCGTACATCCAAACCAACAGCCAGATAAGAAAAGATTGTATTTTATATGTTTGTCTGTGTCTATGTTAAATAAACGTTAGGACTGCTAATCGATCGGGGTCTAATTTTATATGGTAACCCAAGAGACATTTTATGGCAAATTAAAGTTAATTTAAATTTTTAATCTTCCATCAAAGTCAAAAATGTTTACTAGATAAGGGGGCGAGAAGCACCCTAAAATCAGTCTAATGTTTTGTAAAGCTCTCTGTCTCTGTTCTCTCAGCACGTATAGAAAATGTCAAGGTATGCGTGAAGTGTGAACAAACGCAAATACTTTTCAGATCATAAGAAAATTTGCATTGTTTTCTTTTTAGCACCTTTACCCGCTTACAACCCNCCCCCCATCTTTTTAGAACAGGGCAAGTTTTTTAAATTAGTCGGTATAGTTTAAAAAAAGCGCTTTAAATTTGAACACTATTTTGAACTTGTAAGATTGTCAAATATGCTTTTTTATAGAGTCAGATATTTTAAGCATATAATCCCTAATTGATATTGATAGTTTTTGCATAAATATTTATTGAATTTGACGCATTTCTAAACCATTGATTATATTTTTCTTCAATATATCCTTTCCCCCGTATCAAGTAATTTATAACTTTTCTTCGCTGAACTGCAATGCATTACCCTTTAATTGGTGAAATATAACAGTTCTGCTAAGTACACCCTCTCATCCTCACAAAACTAATCAAAAACTTAGAAAAACTTAGAACATTATATGTAAAGCGAAACGCATCTCTCTACTCTCTTCTATACCTTCTGAAAGATTGCAGTACACTGTAGACATGAAATTTGTCTCTAAATGTTCATTGCTCACTGTACACTGTACAGTGTACAGTGAACAGTGTAATCTGACTGTGCAGTGTAAACTGTAAATTCACTGTAATTAATGTGTCCACAAATGATTTCTAATCTTTAAAATGGCGCGCACGGTGATGGTTAGTATACAAATGTATTCAGAGCGATTTATAAATCATCTCTGCACAAGTTCACAACTATAAATGTTTTCAGGAATGTTATGAAAATCTGAGTTTAGAAAAATAACGTGTATGATGAGTGTCCAATATGTCCCAAAGTACAACTGGAGCACAAAAATCAACGCATATTAAAAAAATGACACTGTTTTACAATTTTGTTTCTAGAACAATCTGGGACAAGAGCAAGCTTATGCAGCCTCCCACATACTCATCTCCTACTTCAAGTAAAGGTAATTCTACATCTCGAGATCTACAATATCACAAGAATTCTACATCTCTTGATCTAGAATATCACGAGAATTTTACATCTCGAGATCTACAATATCATGAGAATTCTACATCTCGAGATCTACTATATCACGAGAATTCTACATCTCTTGATCTACAATATCACGAGAATTCTACATCTCGAGATCTACAAGATCACGAGAATTCTACATCTCGAGATCTAGAATATCACGAGAATTCTACATCTCGAGATCTACAATATCACGAGAATTCTACATCTCTTGATCTACAATATCACGAGAATTCTACATCTCGAGATCTACAAGATCACGAGAATTCTACATCTCGAGATCTAGAATATCACGAGAATTCTACATCTCGAGATCTAGAATATCAATTCCCCTAGAACAAACTGGTTAATTTGGTGTACCGTCCCGTCTGTATGTGTACTGTACAGCTCGCTCTACCTGTCGGCCCAGTTCTTGAATTGAACAGGACCTTAAAGTGATATGGGTCTCCGTTGACGAAACAAATAAACGAGTTTCTGACAAAAGTTCTTGCACCAAAGTTCATGGAATACAAATATTGCGAGTTCGTTTAGCGGAAAGCTAATTGTGCATTGAATATTCAAATAGAAAATAATTACAATGAAAATAGAAATAGTTTAATGCTAAACAGAATGAGAGTTATCTATAAAGTTTATTGAGAGATATTTAAACAATTCATTTGTACACATGATTTTTTTTCCATGCTATAGAATAGAAAGTACAAATTAAAATTGATATAAATTGTTTGGAAATTTAAAACACGTTTGAAAATAGAATTATTAGAAAAAAATCCATAGGTATTCTCGTGCTTCATTTAAAGGGACCGTTCACAATTATTTGGGTAATTTCAAGGTAAAATAAACAGCCTATTCGCTGATTAGTCTTACTTTTCAAAGACAGCTGTGGCCGGAGAAAAAGCCGATTTTTCGTTCAGAATTCGAGCGCAAAGCGAAATTACTCAAATAAGTGAACGGTCCCTTTAAAACACACTAATCGGACCAAAAGTAAAAAAAAACGAAATTTTGTATCGAAAATAAGAGATTGCTGCTACTGATTCCGGACCTTTAAATCTTTCTGATTTGTGGGTTCAGAGCCCGCGATTTAAAAAATTCGGGAAAATACGGTTGGGGTCTAAGCTGTCATTGGGCCTTATTTACGGCTTGAGCTTTCGGATTCAAGCTGCATCTTATTTTCCACAGAGTTGAGTTAAAAAAAACGGTTTAATATTCTATTTGGCGAATTTTCATGACAGGAATTGGTGCATTCCGGGTTTTTATGAGAACAAGATTCAATATTGAGCCTTGTTCTCCCCGGTTTTATTTTCATTGGGCCTAACTCCTTAAGTCGAGCCGAAGCTCTCAATCACGTGACATAAGCTGTCGTCAGAGTTGGGTCGAAGATTGGGTCTTAAAGTCGGTTTAAGGAATTACGGCTCGAGCCGAAGTTTTTAAATCGCGGGCTCATGTTGTGTAAATGAGAAATCAAGAATCTCTAAATTCAACCAATAAGAGATCAGAAAACCGGAACAATTTGATTTTCGACTTGGATGGATTTTAAAAAAGGATTCATCTTTTAGAATTTTCTGACATTTCCTGAGTCCAATATGTAATAATAAATCTCAAATCTAATAGAATATTGACAAACGTAACCTCATATGTGTTCAAACTTTGTTTTGATTTCGTAATTTTAATGAGCATCTTTAGAATATTTATCTTGTTGTTTTTTCATCTAAAAATGGGTTGAAATCTGTTTCATTCTGTTTCGTAAAAACCGAAAGCCATGTTTATAGCGAAACCAAATTTCTAGACGGAAAAATACATTTCCTCAGACAATGGTTGTGAATAACACCATCAATGAAAACGTGTTTAAATTTCGTGGATTCCTAATTTTCAAAAGTTTTCAGCTCTTTATATAATTTGTTTTGAAAACTAGGTTTAGGTTGAGTAAAGAGTAGGAGTATAATATGAGGGTGTGAGTGTAAAATTACGCGGGGTTGGGACATTTTTAAACAAAACTTCAAATTCGTTGAAATGCGCAAAAAATGTGTTGTTTGTCACGTGACCGCGTCAGGTATTCGGTTACACCCGAAAATTTAAAGATATGAAACCTTTCATTTAAAATTTAAGGAAATCAATTTTCAAAACAGCCTCAACCTTGGAAAATGAGTGTTAAAAAATATAGAAAAACGTTTGTGGAAAATACTGGAAAAGTTCAAACATTATTTGAGGAGAAAGAAAATAAAAACCAATGTATAAATGAAAGGATCACAGATTTACTAATTTTTATTAGAGTAAACACAAATTACGAATACACCCGTCAGTGTCGTAAATAGGGGGGGTGGGTTATTGGGGTTATTTACCCCCCCCCCCCCTACAGAATCCTTATTTACACGCGTAAATAAAAGTATAAATTACATCTGGTTTTATTTGATAAAATTTCACCCAACTCTTACTACCAGAAAATGATAAAAATGAAAAATGAAATAAGAAAAGTTGAAAAATAAACCAAGTCCAAAAAACCATCTAAAATGCACATTTTTTCTAAATGAATCATGGTAATGGTCAAGTAACTAGAGATACCTAATCTTATACAACTTTAAGATTTTTAAAGATGAAAACCTTCTTTAAAACCCCTAAAATGGGTTGTTTAATAAAATCGTATCTTTTTAAAACATGTGTACAACTCTCAGTCTTTAAAGAACGTAAGTTGCATTTAGTTTAGCATTTGTAACGGATTGAATTTTTAATATATTTATGTTAAATGCAAAGGAATTGATTTTTTGCCACAAACTCAAATTTTTTAATTTTTTTAGTGTTTCGACCAATGACGGTGTAAGCCTTTGATATTTCTAACTTAGATTATTTGATCTAATATAATTCATTGGTATACGACATTGAATTGCAAAGATATAGGGATTAGAAAATTAGAGTTTGCAGCAAAGACTTAATTCCTTAATAAAGGAATTGTGTCTTTGCCTCAAACTCAAATTTTCTAATCCCTATATCTTTGCAACATGATGATATAAACTTTTGATTTTTAAATTTAGATTATCTGATCTAACAGAATTAAAAGTTTGAAATCTCTAAGGTCTACGACATTTTGTTAAAAAAGATATAAGGAAAATCAGAGTATGTTTCAAATACTCAATACCTTAAGGCTTTTAATCATGGTTTTAAATTCTTAACCGTGTAACAAACCAAAAAATAAAAGGTTTTGAAAAATTGTAACATCACTTCTCCCCTTACTCATTCCCTTTCCCCTCTTTTCTTCCCCCATCCCTCCATACATCAGCACTCAAGAATATGATAATATGATTGACTGCTGACTAATTAGGTCAGTTTCACCCTTGTTTACACTCTTTAAAGGGAGAGTCTCCCAACTTTTTCTTACACAAATATACACACACTAGCTTGGGAACCCTGCTTTGCCGTAAAAGAACAATTCTGTGTTTTCACTAAGTTATCCGATCAAAATTTGAGGTAAATCGGTCTAATGGTTCCTGAGTTATGATCGGACTTACAAACAAACAAACATAGATGACTACTTTATATTATAAACAAACAAGGCAAATATTTCCCTTAACCCTTCCATCCAGTTTTTAATCATTCCCCTCCACCTCCCTACCTAACGTTCATAATTCCCCCCCCCACTCCAACTCCCTACCAACGTTGTATAATGTCCTTCCTTCCTCATACTTATACTGCTCTCCTTCCTCCCATGGATAATCTATTTAGTATTTTTTTGTATCCAATAAACGACAAAATGGCCGAACCTGTCGGAAACATTTTTTCGCGGAACCTTTAATGACGCAAATACAGGTTTATGACTGGGTATAAAATACTGCCACTTGAAAAAGACAATGCAAATGAAATTTCTTTTCACTTCCGCATGTTATTGATTCCGTAGAGTTCTTTATTTCTAATTTTAGATTACAATTATAATTAGGGTTTCCAATCGGAATTCCGTTGCGTGGAATTACGCGCTATGGTTGCGTCCGCTTGCGCCATTTCGTTGCGCGCAATTGCGCTATAATTGCGAAAAAGGAAGCAATTAAATATTCGCGGAATTTCGCGGAATTGCTTTTCCATTTAAAAATTAATAATTTAAACTCTTCAACTTACAAATTTATGCAGCAGATACAAGAATGGAAATATCTATTTAGATTTAAAAATAATCAAGGCCCGAGTTTCACTTGTGGTTAAGCTACTAATTAGCAATTTAATATGATGCATTTTTTATTTGTTCACATTGGATGAACATTAAAATGGAAACTTTTTTGGTTAAAATTGTAAGGTTCGTTTAATCAAAATTAGATATTTTGCTACAGTGAGAGCCAGAAAACTATGGAACAAAAGGACAACATCACAGTGTATTTGATGTTGTTACAAAGCATAAAACATTATTAAGTAACTTATTAAATCACTTGTTCAGTTCAGTTCAGAGTTTTCTGGTTATCATGCTGGAAATGAATATTATAAAACAAAAGATTAAGCTTAAATATAATATTTTTGCATTTGAGACTGAAATTTTAGTGCAGTTCAGTTTATTGTATGCCTCTACCAAAGTTTAAATCAAATTATAACAAAAAATTCAAAAAACAAACGCAAGAAAGTTAGACGGAATTGCATGCAATTATTACGGAATTTTGCGCGCAAGTAAAATCCACTTGCGTCGAAAACTCTAATTATAAGATTTACCCAATCTTTCTATTTTTCTAGAATCATCTCAGATCAAAGTTACATTTATTTTTCTAATTTAAACTTAAATTATTTTGATCCGAACCCTGTGAAAATATTTAGTTTAAGTATCAAAAACAAGAATCTACAAAACCATGAAAGTACGAAGTTTGAATCCCTGAGCTACACATTTGATTAACTTTGATTACAAATACAAAAGTTCAAAATATTCTGAAGAATAATTTTCCAGAATCTTCCACAAGAAAATTAAGTAAAGTTGATAATAAATCAAGTAAATTCTTAACAGATACATTTGTTTCCGATAAGGCGACCGCAGTGCTCGGTCCCTATCCTATTCTAGCCGCAGCGCTCGGTCCAAAAGTTGTCTTTTTCTAACCCAACTTATATTATAACATTTTTTTAATGATTATAATTTTGTTTAATGAGGCTGGAGTAATGAAAAAATGCTTGGTGGGGGGGGAGGGGGGGCTTGGGGGTAATGTAGAATAATGTAAAAATCCCAAAGCAAAGTACGAATGCATGAGGACAAAGTGTAAAAGATAAAGTACAAGAAACAAAGTACAAATGACGGATAAATTATAAAAGTACAAACAGGTGCAAATACAAGAAATCGTCAAGATGGGTAAGGGGCTTAAACTTTGCCACTCTAACATAAATAGATAGATAGGTAGATAGGATAGACAGATAGAAAGATTGATATTTAGATATATAGATAGATAGAGATAGATAGATAGATAGATAGAAAGATAGAGTCCACCCTCCACCCTTTCCTTAATGTTTTGATAAGCTCTCCCAACAAACCTATATTTTGAAAGTCCGACTTCACAGATTTGAACTACGCTAGACTTCACGGTTATAATATTTCACAGAATTAAATGGAAATGAGTGAAAGTTAAGAAATGTATTTAAAATGAATATGGATGAGAAATCTCTGAAAATAATCCAAGGTTCTTCCAATTTTTTACTAAGAAGTGTTTGTTATCGTTTGATACATTTTTAATCTAAAGATCACAAAAAATTACATAACAAAGATTAGTGTTGAATCTTTACTTTGGCTACAAAAAATGGAGTCTTTGCCATAAACTTTGATTTTCTAATCCATATATCTTTGCAACCCAATGTAGATCTTAGACATTTCAAACTATTAGATAAAAAGTTTAGAAAATTTGAGTTTGTAACAAAGATTCAATTTATTTTTCAAAAGATTTTAGACAAGTGCAGATAAGGGCTGAGTAATTTTTTGGAAATTAACCGGTTTTTTTGTGTAGTAAATATTCTGTTGTTTCTTTTCACCATTGATTTAAAAAGGGGGGTTTCGAGTCTGAAAAAAAAGTTAAAAATCTGTCGTGTGTTGCAAAGTTTGTGACTGAAAACAATAGAGTTTTTGCTGATTTAGCAGGAAAGGAAATTGTTTAAATAAGATGGATCTTTCTTTAATAGACTCTATATAGTCTACACATTGTACAGTGTGCAGTGTACAGGGGGATCCAGAAAACAAGGCTCTCAGTTAAAAAAAATTTGCTCTTGTTGTTTTTCTTTCATAAGTTTTAAAAAAAGATGCTGAGGATGAACAATTGAGAGGCTCTTTGTGAAAGTCTAAAATAACTATCATATTATACGTTCAGTTTAACATACCTTTTATAAAAAAGACTTACAAGTATGTATTGAAAGACTACATTATTAAGTCTAAAATAAATTTAATAAAATAGCTGTTTCAGTTGCAGTTAGATGTTAAGTAAAAAAGGATGAATTAGTAAGGAAGTATAGAAGGATTGGAAGGGGAAGGAAGGTTAAATGAATGAGCGAGGAGAGTACAAAAGGATGAATTACTAAGGAGAGAAGGAAGGATTGGAAGGGGAAGGAAGGTTAAATGAATGAGCGAGGAAAGTACAAAAGGATGAATTAGTAAGGAGAGAAGGAAGGATTGGAAGGGAAAGGAAGGTTAAATGAATTAGCAAGAAAAGCACAAAAGGATGAATTAGTAACCAAGGAAGGAAGGATCGGAAGGGGGAGGAAGGTACAAAGGGATGAATTAGTAAGGAAGGAAGGAAGGATTGGAAGGGAAGGAAGGTTAAATGATTGAGCAATGAAAGTACCAAAGTATGAATTAGTAAGGACGGGAGAAAGGATTGGAAGGGAAAGGAAGGTTAAATGAATGAGCGAGGAAAGTACCAAAGGATGAATTAGTAAGGAAGGAAGGAAGGATTGGAAGGTGGAGGAAGGTTAAATGAATGAGCAAAGAAAGTACAGTTAGATTAAGTCATCAAGCGGGAACAGGAAGGAAGGATAATAATGAGCAATGTGAGTCCAATATGCAATTTACACAAGTGTAATTATGAAATTGACATAAAACTAATTACACTCAAATTTAAACATGACTAAATAAGATCATCTCTAATTTATAAAAATAAAAAGCACATTTATTATAAAATAAGTAATTATTACTCTTATGCTGCAATTCAGATTTGTGATTAAAATATTACTAATCCCATTTTATCCTCTAATAGTACATTATTTAGGCTTTATTGCCGATACAGTGAATATAGGATTAAGAAATAGAAGTGGATGGAGGGCGCAGATTTAGTTTTTAATGAAAAAAAGGAATCTTAAAATGTTTGTGAACGATTAAAAATTAATATTTAGTTCTTTATGTTCTGAACTTCTGAAAGGTTTTAAATCTGAAAGTAGTCACTAAATCCTGTTTTCTTGAAACTGAAATGTGTTTGTAATCTTGTTTTTCAGAGATAAGTACAATTACATCTAATAAATTGACCCACTCCCCCCCTCTCCCCCCTCCACGTAAAGGGACTGTCGCCGTTATTTCAATTGGCCCTACATTAAAACAAAATGATGAAATTATATTTTTCTGGTGGATTTGTTAGTACTTTTAAAGGAGAGACAACAATGGAAATCGACAGAATCAGTTGTTAAAATAGGAAAATAATGATATCTTTAAAATTCGGTGATGGTGATGGTGATGGACTAAACCTCTTTATATAAAAAAGTAGGTGTTAGTTTCACATTTTATTGAAAATATATTTCGGTCTGGGTTGACTCTCGTCAGTTCTAACGATATATTAACCATCAAAATCGATTTTAAAACCACAAGAAAATAACAAACAAACAAAATTATTTAACATATTTTTTATATCTTTGTTGAATGTATAGATTGTCAGATAAAGGATTAAATTTACACAAATGTAAATCATTGAAACGCCGTCAAGAGTTCCTTGTGTAATATGTATATTTAGGAAATGNGAATATCTTTAAAACATCTCTGTACATTTATATCTTTCAAGATGAAAAATGTCGTCTTATGCGCAATCTATCTTTATCTATGCTTCCTCCTAACAAAGCAAATACACTGTTTAACCAATATATTAAGAGGAATAATTGTAGCTTTCATTCAATTATGATTATATAAAAATAGAGCTAAATATTTTGTTACTTGAAATATTAATTTTATCAAAGAATTAATTCACTAATTCTTGAGTTCACGATCTGATCAATTCAGAAGATAGTTTAATTTAAAATTTATCTGTTTAATGTTTGAATCCACTTATTGGTATTCGATTTTGATGAATAAAAAGTTAAAGTAAAAACCATAAACAGTCCTCTTAATTAGTGTTCTTGTTCTATTTTTTTTGGCCACACACTTTTTATGAATAGATAATATGGGAAATGCCAGGACGCTGTCTTATAAGTAATTAATTGACGTGTTTTCTTGAAATTACATAATTAAAATATCCATCTAGTACTATCCCTATTTCGAGGCACTATATAGTTTATTGGGCTCACACCTAATTTGTGTTCCCTAATCACTTTAAGTTGTCCCTAACTGTGTTTGTAATCACTATGTATTTGTAGTGCCCCTAACTGAAGCACGAAGGAAGAGGATTGCTCTAGAAAGTGACCCCGACTGTAGAAGAGCTAGCTCCCGCGGATTAATTCCCAAAGCCAAAGTGAAGACGATTAAAATGACATTCGTCATTGTATTTGGTGAGTTAAAAAATATTGCCACAAAAATATGGGTTTAAAGCTTTACAGACAAATCATGTAACATTAATATACAATACAAATGAATTGAGTCTTTGCCACAAACTTAAATTTTCTTATTCTTCTATCTTTGCAACCTAATGCCGTAGAACTCAGATATTTCAATTTATGAATTCTATTAGACCAAATAGTATAAGTTTGAAATATCAAAGGTTTACACCACCAGGTTGCGCACTAAGATATAGGGATTAGAAAACTCAAGAACTCAAATCCTTTCGTTAGAAAGGATTTGAGTTCTTTGAGTTCTATATATAAATTTGGCCTGTCTGTCTGTTTGTTTGTATCCAATAAACGTCAAAACGGCTGAACCGATCGGGCCCACATTTTTTGTGGGACCTCACGTAACCCCAGGGAAGGTTTATGAATGATCAAAAATTTAAAAATTTGCGTTTAAAAGTTTTTTATTTTAGTAAAATTTTGAAAATGCGCGAAAAAATATTATGAAATCCGCAAACTTATTTTGTTTGTTTTTGTTTTATACTGTACAAAGATAAGATGCTCACACAATACCATGAAAAGTTGAAATAGATGATGGGCGCGAAGCGCCCTAAAAGTCTAGTCTATATATAAATTTGGCTTGTCTGTCTGTTTGTCTGTTTGGGTGTCTGTTTGTTTGTATCCAAGAAACGTCAAAACGGCTGAACCGATCGGACCCACATTTTTTGTGGGACATCACGTGACCACAGGAAAGGTTTATGAATGATAAAAATTAAAAAATGTGTTTAAAAGGTTTTTAATTTTGTAAAAAAAAATTTATTCTTGAAAATCCGCGAATTTTTTCATCTTCGTTTTAAAATGTAAACAAAAAGAACATGTTGACAATTTAAATAGAAGATGAAAAGCCTAGTTTCTTATATTTTAATAAATAATTGTTATTAAGCCTTTAAAATAAATCTCTTATCTGTTATTTATGTTATTTCTTGTATTGAAGCAAAAACAAATTATATGCATTGGTTTTAGGATAAATTCAGCGTAGGACAAGTTCTTATAAAATTAATATTTTAGTTTTTATTCTCTGCTGGTCTCCGTATATAATCTTCGATCTTCTCCAGGTATTTAAATAATTTGAGCCGCGGCTCAAATATGGTTGGTTTCTCTTATAAGTATATTAAATTTTTCAAGATTTAAGCCGGCGCTCGATTGAAACCGGTTTTTGGGGGATTTGAGACGCGGCTTAAATTCATTAAATTTGGACACTGGATTTTTTTCCCCATCAAATTGGTATATTATTATTCCCAAAGGTAAAAGGTTGTCAGCATTGATTTTCTGTAGTTTTGTTAAGATTTCGCTTTCCAGTAGAAAAAATAATGCGCAAAGTTCGTTTCCGTTTGCGCATTAGATTTGCGTGATAGAGAGGAATTGCGAATTCCATTACATGCAAAAATTATAATAATAATAAAAATATAAATTTTTAGTGAAATCTTAAGATTATTTTCTTTATTCCGAATATCAGATTGCTCTAGTATCAAAAATTTAGTTCAGTCAAAATTGAAGTTGTTAAAGCTGCAAAATGAGTTTTTGCTAAATCTTGAATTTTTTTGCTGCAAATTGTATTTAATCTAACCCTGTGTTTATATATTTAAGGTGTATGGTATAATTCAGCGAAGTGATCTAAACAATATAATTGCAACATTTGTGCAAAGTCTTGCTCCTCTCAACTCTGCAGCTAATCCTTTTATCTTCTGTCTCTTCTCAACTAATATTGGGAAATATATCAGGTCAGGACATTATTATTATATTATTATTCTTATTCTTATTATTATTATTATTATCATCATCATCGTTATTATTATTTTATATTATTATCATCATTATCATTATTATTACTTTTTGTTTCATTTTATTATTATAATTATTATCATTATCATTATTATTATTTTTTGTTTTGTTTTATTATTATAATTGATGTTTATGATTTTACTAAGACAGGCATTAAGACAAACAAACAAACATATTAACGGAGGCTGTGAAGTGTTAAGATGCAACTATAGCTGGACAGAATTTAAACAGCTTGGGATAAATTACTAGAATTAATTCTAAGCATTGTTTCTTAACTCTCTTCACAGAGATGGAAACTGAAATTAGATATTAAAAACTAAACTAATTCAATAAATATCTAAAGTCTCAAGGTTCCATCAAGACTCAAATAAGACTACAAGTCTTGAAATATGTTGGAATACAGTTGAGTCTTATTTCAAAATTTGTACAAACCACTTCGAAAAAACTCATAAAATTGGGTTTAAAATTAACTTTGAACCTTATAGTTGAGACTAGTGAAGTAAACCGAAGACTAAGTTTTGTATTGCAATTCTGATAAAATCTGTATATAATCTTTGAAAAAAAATGTTCTAGATATTTTAATTGATATTTATTTAAATTTTGCACTCCTAGCATTACATCCAAAGTTTTTTGTAACAGGGTTTCGTGGTTTTAAAATAAAAGTTTCTGGGTTTGAGCTACTAGTACTATAAAGTACAGACAGCCTGACAGGCTATATGGACGAAAGGAGAAAAAAGAGGTTTCGTGAATATGAAAGATTTTGTGTTTATAATCCAACCCTACTCAGAAAGAACATGGTTCATTTAAAAATTATTTAAAGGTTATGACAAATTTCGAAACCAAAAAAGAAGAAAATTGTTTTTTAAAAGGAATTGAAACTTTACAACTTGTTCTAATCCCTAAATCTTTGTAACCTGACGGTGTAAATCTTCGACATTTTATAGTTAGAATATGGGATCTAACAGAATTCATAGTTTGTGTCTTAGAATCAATTTCTTTAATCTGTTACTGATGAGTAAAACTATTTTCGGAAGATGCAATGGCGTTTTTTAAGCCCTTTTGCAACATCAATATGTGAAATACTTGAAACAAATATTGGTGATCACATAAAATAAAATTTTGTAAGACTTTTAATTGAGCTAAAACCAATCAATAAATAGCCTTGAAATTGTTTTAGTAACTGGTGGTGTGTGCGCAAATGCCAAACTGCATGCTGCTGCACGTGCTGCAAAAGAGAAGACGACACCAATATGGCGACCAGCACAATGCGCACTACTTCCACGCATGTTTCATCACACAATACAGTGAGTCAGAGCGGGACCAGTGGAGTGTATAATACTAGAAGACAAAGCAATCTTCACTCCACTCACATGTAAGTTTATTTCGAATTTAAATATTTAGATTTAGTTTAATTACATTTCTTAAACTAGGGTTCCAAATCAATTTTAATCTGAAAAAAAACCCTAACCTTTACAAAATTGTCAACCTGTTCCATATGTATTTCAATTTTTTTTGTAAAATTTTTGCACCTTTTCTTAAAAATTCAGATTTTATACATTTTGTAGAAATCTAGCTTTTTTCTGTTTAGAAATTCTAGTCACAATCATGCAATCTGCCAACCAATCATCAGCGCAGCAACAATAGCTGTTCAGAGATTTTAAGAGCAGTGTGTTGGTTTATTTATTCTAGTTATTAAACCTGCTTTATGAGTAAATAAAGCTGAAAAGTTCTGTAAAATAATTAACCACACAATCAGCTATTCCATTAAAGTATGAGATAAGGATAGATATCAGAACAATTACATCATATGGTTATTATTTTGGTTCTGCCAATCACTGTAGGAATTTGATTTGTGACAGCCAATTACAAACAAGTTAAAAATCGCTCAGCCAATCACAGAAGAGTTTGTTTATATTTCGGCCAATCAGAGTGATTGTGAAGACTTTGTTTCTTACATTGTCCAATCATGGAAGTTATTAAACAAAACAAATTTACATTTGCAAAAGACAAAGGTATAATCAATTGATGTGAAAATTCTACGTGTATTATTAAAAATTTTGTAAATTAATGTAATTGTATTATAATGTTTTGTCAAAAACATTTCGTATTTCTTGGAACTAATTTAGAAAAATTCTTTCGAAGGAAAATTGCTTTCAATTATTTCAAATGTCGACATTATGAATCTTATTGTTAAAGAGCATTTCGCCTGAAATTTGACAATATTAGACAATTTACTCAAATTTTTATAGGCACTTAGAACAACTTAGGCTCAAGCTTATTGTTGACTTTTAAAGCATTTGCCCAGAAACTAAAAACTGCCCAAAACATAATTTTTTCATATTTATAAATTTGCACACATAACAAGCTTAACGCGCGTCCATGAGACTAATAAAATAAAATTAAAATTATTGGACTTTAAAAATACAGGACACTAATTTAGAATTCTTGATCCTACAGTGAAAAAAGTTTAGGAATTGAGTTCTTGCTACAAACTGAAATTGTAATCCTTATATCTTTGCAACTTGAATGTGCAGACTGTAGGCCTTTAATAAGTCAAACTTATATTAGTTGAACTTACAAAATTCAAAGCTTAAAATATCTAAGGACTACGACGTTGGGTTGCAAAGATATATTGATTGGAAAAATTAGGGTTTGTGGCAAGGACTCATTCCTTTCCAAAAACTTTATTTTAGAGTAATCTTGACTTTTGAATTCGAAAAAAAGGATTTCTCTGAGAAATGTTATCAATGGGTAGGTTTTAAGTTAGAAATTAAAGAATTGTTAACGAAAAATTTAATGTGTGTTAAATATGTAATGTTTTATATCTATATAATCAATTATAACATTAAACGTAATATATGTATAAGTCAATGTATAATGGTAATATTTTTCAATCCACAATTTGACATTTCTAAGATCATAGAGCAATCATCTGTCCTTTGATATTTTTTGACATTACCATAACATCGGGAGTTTTAAAAAATTTGTCGATTTTTAATCAGATACCTTACCGTTAAGTAAACTTTGTGAAATTTTCTCTCAAACTCTATGACAAAATAAAATAAATGTTTTATTTTTAACATGTAAAAATATTAAGTAACAAACTACTTGATAATTAATATTAAACATATGTATTAAATGTTAAAAAAATAGAATCAGAATTAAGAATGTGATTTTTCAAATCACATTCTTAATTGTCGAAATATGGTTCATATTTGATTCAATGTTGTGTGCCAGTGCCAGTAATCAATATTTATGTAGACAGCTTGTGTCATGTGATTGACAGCTGCAAGATCTTCTAGTGCTCGACTTAAGGAGTTAGGCCCAATCTTCATAAAAACCCAGAATGCGCCAATTCCTACCATGAAAATCCGCCAAACAGAATTATTAAACCGATTTTTTTTAACTTAACTCTGTGGAAAATAAGATGCAGCTTGAATCCGAAAGCTCAAGCCGTAAATAAGGCCCAACGACAGCTTAAACCCAAGCCGTATTTTCCAAAAAAAAAAATTTAAATCGCGGGCTCTGGATAATTACATTACGGTGTGTCGTATAAAAGTCTTATTTCACTCTCTCCTCTTTTTTTAAAAAAAGTTGTTAAAAACTTTCTTATTGGTTCATAATTACATTTAGAAATTATTAAAGTGAGCCCCGTAAAACCCTGGAATAGGAAGACGTCATTTAAGTAATCTTATGTGTATTTGATGTTGTAATAAAACAAATATTTTTGCCAGCATGCATTTTCAATCAAGTTTTTAGAGAAATGGATCTGTGTACACTGTACAATTTCTGTGTTTCATGTTAATTTGACTATTATTAATAGTAATATCTTGAGTCGGTTTGCTATTCCACATTTTTACGGGTCGCACTGTATAGAGAGGCTAACAATTTTATAATTTTATCAAATATCAAAAATTGTGTTTTTTAAAACTAATATTACATGTTTAATACATATTGAATTTGTCTGTAAATATTTCACATTGCACAATTTACAGTGTACAATGTACACTGTACACTGTACACTGTACACTGTACACTGTACACTGTACACTGTACAGTATTGTCATGTGCCATGTAAAGAATCTCACTAAAATTTTGATCACTAACTTTTTTTTGAAAAAGCAAACATGTAATTCAAATTTAGTTCAATAGTAAAACCCCAAATTAATAAGAAACCGTAAACCAGAAGCATTTAAATATATATTATAAATAAAATGAGGAATTATATGTGTGTTGTAAAAACTAAATGTATCCAAGTGTAACCAAAAAAATACAAAATTCCTTCTGTATCACAATGAAGACAATTCGAGATATTTTTTAGCACGTAAAACTGTTTTTTTGTAATTGCTCAGTGTTTAAGACAACAATAAGAAATGAAATTCAATTATTAAATAAACTTATAAAACACCAAAGTGGAATTTTTGCCTTAAAATCATATTGTTTAATTCCTTTATCTTTGCAACCTAACGAGGATTAGTGTATACCTTTGATATTTCAAACTTCGATTATTTAATCTAACAAAATTCATTGTTTGATATATGTATGTAAGGTATAAGACATTGCAGCTGCGAAGATATGGGATTAGAACATCAGAACCTTAATTCATTTCAGTTACAAATAAAATTCATTCAAATCACAAGAACTCTTTCATAAATGACAAAATCATTTCAAAATCAATAAACTAGTTTCAAACGTGTCTGTTTATCTTCTTAAAAACAAACAAACTAAAAGTACGTTTTGAAGAATCTATGTTTGTGAATCTACGACAAAAGCATCTTTATTGGTGTATTTTTAATCAATTGTACACCAGCTACAAGAGCCCTACTTCTATCCCTAAATGTTAAGTGTCACCCACTAAATGTTGATTTCTATTGTACAGGGCATTTCTTCCCTAATACTCTTAACGTAAAAGCCCTCTTGGGAAACAAAGAGAAAAAAATTCTGTTAAAAATGAATAAATTAAAATAAAAAATTGGCATTTGTATATTTAACTAGATGTAAATCTTTATTTAGAATGTAAATATGTATTTAATGTCAAGAACACGTTTATATTATCTATCTATGTCTATCTAAACTAATATCTATCGTGTTTTTTACCATTTTCTTATTTTGTTGAATTTAAATTAAATTAAATTATTTAATTAATTTTTACAAATTTTCTAGAGGCTGGGTTTTCTAAACTTTCCCGTGAAAGGAAGAGAGTAATGTGGAATAAAAATAAAAAGGCTGAAAATTAACATATTTATTAATGTCGTCTGTAAATATATTTCTTTCTCCAATTCACGAGAAAACGATTAGAAAACAAGAACAATAAAAACTATCAAGTTTTAATAAAAGAAATTTTAAAATTCTAGGTTTTGATCACGAAAGTAAAAAAAGAGAACAGTGCAGTACAGATCAGAGTACAGTGCAGTATTGTACAGTGATGTACTTTACTGTGCTGTATTGTAACGTGGTGTATTGTACAGTGTTGTCGTATTGTACAGTACAGTATTGAACAGTGCTGTATTGTATGTACAGTGCAGTATTGTACAGAGCAGTATTGTACAGTGCAGTATTGTACAGTGCAGTATTGTACAGTCCAGTACAGTGCAGTACAGTACAGTAAAGTACAGTACAGTACAGCACAATGCAGTACAGTACAGTACAGTACAGTACAATGCAGTACAGTACAGTACAGTACAGTACAGTCAGAACAGCGCAGTACTGTAAGATACGGTACAGTACATTTCAGTCCATTACATTACACTACATGATCCATTTCCTTTTTTTTTTACTTTCTCAATCAGCTCTTTAATTATAATAGTTTCAAAAGTCTGTGATTTAATCATTCATTCGTTCATATATCAATTGTCAGACTGCTATTATATATAAATATACTTTTATTATGTTCTCCAGAGTTAGTATTTATTCAAATATAATAATAAAGATACTATTTCTTAACTACTCCGGTACTCTGACGGGAGGTTTTGCGAAACAAGGTCTCTTGAAACTAATGACAAAAAATTAAAAAGATTTATTATTAGACAAAGAAATAAACAGCAAACTATTGTCCAAAGTATGGATTATGCTTGACTTTTTTTGGAGACTAACTTTATAATAAAGAAAATCAAAAAAGTTAAATTCTCTTAAGTTTATTTAAAAACTGTCACACCTGTTTCTTCAAATTGTCTCCTTAATCGTTTTCTCTGTGTCGAGTTTAAAAGCTCTAGTTTATTTACAGTCTACTGCTAGAGTCCTGTCCCTGTTCTTATATTATAATATTTGATGAATACGTATTTAAACAGATTCCGCGCCAAAATCGCATTTTACCGTCTTTTTCAGCGTTAAAGGAATTGTATGCGTAAGTCTAAGCGGCTCTCCGTGCAAACATTGCAATTTTCGTCGTAGAATGATACCCTTAAAAGTATGAATTTTATATCAATGCTTGACATTTTGAAACTAATTATTTTCCACTGTTTTGTTTCAATCCAAATGTGAATTGCGCAATCCCTACACGACAGAAAAACAAATATATTAAATCACCTTTAGCCCTAAAAAAACGAAAATATCTTCCACGTTATTGCTCATAAAAGGTTTTAAGAATTGAGAATCAGGCATTAATATTTTTACACGAAGGGTCACTTAAACAGATCCATATTTAGTATTCTCGAAAAATGAGTTTGTTCGAATTTTCAACATTAAATACTCAATTTACAATCGATACATCATAGTTGTCGGCAATTCCACGCTAATTTATGCACAATTGTTCAAAGAAACGGATTACTTGCCACAGATTGTATATCTCCCCGCATTTTCGAAACCTGACAATACAAACCTTTTATATGTTAAACTTTCTATATTTGATCCGACCGAATTCTCAATTTGAAACACAGGGTTACCCACAAAGGATGAGCCTGTAATGACGACCTCAAACTTATTTAATAGAATAATCCAATGGTTAAATTAAGTCCTCTGCTTTGAATATAGTCTTAAAGAAATAGCTTGTAAGGATATGAAAAAAAACACGTTTACGGTTGTAAATAACCGTAAATGTAAGGAACCAGACAGTGTAAAGTCCATAAATGTAAGGAAACAGAAAGTATAAATTCCGGGAATGTAAGGAAACAGACAGTGTAAATTCCGAAAATGTAAGGAAACAGACAGTATAAATTCCTAAATGTAAGGAAACAGACAGTATAAAGGCCGTAAATGTAAGGGAACAGACAGTATAAATTCCGTAAATGTAAGGAAACAGACAACATTAATTCCGTAAAGTCGTCTTTGAAGTCTCAATCTTTATGGGTAACCTTGTATAAAAGGTATGTTCCATCAGGTTGCAAAGATATGAGAAAAGGGGATTGAGGCGATTAAACTTCCATATATTTGCTATAGTGACCATGAACTAATACCCGTGTAACCATTCAGCTAAGGTCTAGTTAGCGAAATGTTATCTCTAATTTCATTTCAAAAAGACTTATTTAGGAAGTACCTAGGCAGTTGACTTTGGGCTTTGAAACTTTGCCACACCATGTCTTATGACTGTTTTATAAAAAAAATCTCAAAATTTGGAGACCCTGCCATATACGATTAAAAAAATATCGCTAAATAACGAGAAAAACTGAGTAAATTAATTCTTGAAACTACGTTTGACTTTAGACCTCAAAATGCACAATTGATTTTTACGATTTCCTAAAAATGGATTTTCTGAAAAAGGGCCCAGAGCTGGGAACTTTAGGATGGTGGATATCAGGAGTAATGCTTAATCCTCTGTTTTTCCTCATCTCGAGACTAACATAATCTCGAGATTATGTTATGTTATTATGTTAGATTAAATATTTAGATTAACAAATTGGTTTATCAGAACGCCAGACTTGACTGAAAAGGCCTTCACTTAATTTTTCACCCATTTATTTATAAACACATTAGTTAAAATTGGTTACAAAATATTTTTCTTTACCGATTAATTTACAAAATGGTCGACAACAAATTCTTGATTTGTTGGAAATTGCGGATTTCTCTCATGGGATAGAATTTTTTTACAAGGCCTTTGGTCAATGCAATTTACGAGAAAATAATGTAAGGGTATCCAAAGAGAGAGAAAAAGAGTGGATTAAGGACTAAAATTAAAAGTTTCCACAGTGGATATTCGGATTAAGTAGTTGGGATTAATGGTTATCCATTCTAAAGTTCCCAGCTCAATATGGATTTTTAGTTTCTGTTCTCATGTCTTCTATTTCACTACCATATGTTTGAATTAAAGAACTGAAATGCCAAGCAAAGTACACAGTGCGCTTTGATTGATCATCTTAACACAGATGAATATGGAGTAATTGTGA